CCGGCTAGATCGGTAATTTCTCGAACTTTTCTCACTTTTCAGGGTTCTCCGAAACCCTAACTTTAAAGACTTTCCGATTTTCCTTCAAATCTGTCTTGGATCTATGTATGTTATGAACCTCTTAAGTGTTTTCCTTAAAGGTTTTTCCGATTTTTTCAAAACGTCTCTTCATCTTCAACGATTAGGGTTCTTCTTAAATCTCTTTTAAAAGATTTCTCCTCCGATTTTCAGTGTTTCCTTATGATTTACTATGTTTAAACAACTTGTTTATGTTTTTCTTCTACCTGGCTCATCGTGTTGAAAACCCTAAGGATCTTTGCTTTTATCCGGCGTTCTGGAGTTGTCCTTGTTTATTCGTTTATATGCCTGTTTTGATTGGGTTCTTTATGGTTAAATCCTTTTTCTTTATTTGTCTTGAATGATTCTGAGCTCTTACCGCTTTTTAACTCAGCTTTGTTAAAACCCTAATTTCCTAAAATTTTCCTCACTTGTTACTGTGAGTTTAAATACATTCTTTACTTGTTTCTATGTGTTGGTTTGATCTCCTTTACCTGTTGCTATGTGTTAGACTGGTTTCTTCATTTTTGTCCTATGTGTGAGCCATGACTGTTGACCTTGTTGATTACCATGCTTTGAGTAATCCTTAGCCTATTCATGTCACTTCTGTACGTCTATGTTCATCTAGTTTGCTCCTTTCTATCAATATGTTTGACCTTGCATGTCTTATACGCCTGTTCATTCTTTTCTATTTATATGCTGAATTGCAGAATCATGATTCCTTCTTGATTGATCTTGATTTCCTCAAGTTATGGTTTGATTGCAAGGTTTTCTTATAAACCCCTAATTTTACTCGTTTGATTAAGTNTTAAGTATATTATGTACTTAGACTCAATTGTATACTCTATATTCTTACTATCCCTTATATGGTCAGAAATCAATCTTCTTCAAATTGATATTCCTTTTTCCTTAATTATCCTGTTAGTATTCGTTAAGCAGTAATTCCTTGATTAAAGGGAAGTACTTGTACTAATGGGATTCTGATTGTGATTATTTCCATACTTGTGTTAAAACTTTACTTGTTACCTTATTTTCTACTCGTTTTCAAAGCTATAAATACCCTACCCTCTCTTTTCTAAACACACGAACAACTGATTTCAAAACACACACTAACACATTCAAACTCTCTTTCTTTCTCTACTACTTGTGCTCCTGCTTTGTCTAGCCGGCTGAAAGCCAAGGCTAGACTGTGGAATTCTGATTGCTTTACTTTTCTTTTCTTGCACTTTGCTTCTTCAACTGGTATGTCCCTAGTTTAAGTTCTGAAACTCAAACCTATGTGTTCCCTTGTGTCGACCATTGTCTCTTTCTGCACTGACTTAGTGGCTCATGCTGTTGCACTTTTGTTTACTGCTTTACTCAACATGCCTAAAGTTATGCCCTCTTTTGTTCAAATATGTTTACTTGTTCCTTCTTGTGTCCCTCAACTTGCATGATTTCTAATGTACTTGATTCATGACTAATTATGTGTTTCTATTTTGGGTCTTCTATGTCCCCAACCCCCTACTCCCTATTTGTAACTGCTGAAGCATGTACCCCTCCCTGAACTTGTTCTGTGGTTTTATCCCTTGCTCCCTTTCAAAACTCTTCTACTGTTCTACAAACTTATCTCACACGTGTTTTTTTAATACTATTTCAAGCACTCTCACATGCACTCTTAGATCATTAGGTTCTGCCCCTCTTGTGTGAGCCTTGCTTTGAGGACCCTTGAGCTCCCTCTGAACCTGGACACATAAGTGTTGGCCCTTCCACACTGCACCTACTCTTGGTTATGCAATCTGGGTGTGAGCACTGCCCGGGATCCCTTGAGGTCCTTAGGAAACTTTGACACACCTAGGTATGAGGGAAGGCTTTGGAACAAAATTAGCATTTGAGGTGGTTTATTACGTAGCTCAGAGAGGAAGTCAGAATCAGGCTTCCTATAGTTGTAACTTCTTATTTTATTTATTTATTTCTGCTTATGTAATTCAATCACTTGGTTTGTAAACAAGTAATGGGGTCGCTAGTGAAAAGGGATGGGGAAATATGCATGCTATAGTTGTTAAAGGGTAGAAAGCACGTCATTAGGTTTATATTCCTAATTGTGCAATAGAAACCATGTTTAGGATTCATTATGCATTAGAAATCATGCTCTTAGGACCTTTGTTTCTCGCTTCAGCACTTCATTCATTAGTCCATGCTTTATCACTTAGAAATCCTGCTCCTAGGGCAATAACAACACTGGTTAAAAGGCTGGTATTTCAAAATCCTGCAACTCTTATTGTACATTTAGAAATCATGCCTTAGGGATTCTGTTTTTTTCACATCCTTGCAATTTGCATATAAGATACCATGTTCTAGGATCCTGTTTGCATTTTGCTTAAAAACGCCTAGTTAATTACTGATTCATGAGAAGGTAGTAAAGTAATAATTTTCATATTGTGATGCTTCTGAATAAAATTGGTAACCATCTTTGCAACTAGAACAGCATGCTCTTAGGGTAAAATAATCTCCAAACTGCTCTTAATAACTTGGGATAATTGCTGTATATCGCTTTACGCCTAGGAAAACCTTAGGTAATAATTTTAATAAAATTGGAACTGCCTTTGTTTAATGGGAAAAAGGCCATTATTACCCCTGTACTTTTGAAATTCATGCACGTTCGTCCCCCGTTACACTTTACGTTCAATCTCCACCTTACCGTTAATAAAGTCTATGAAATTACCCCTAACCCTAACGCCCCGTCCAAGTGGCAGCTGACCCCATCTCTTTTTTCCAAGTCAACTGCCAATTGAGACTTCCACTAATTTATTAGTCCCAAACCCAATGGCCATTTAGTCCCCCATAACCCAATTTCAGTCAAATCAATTTGACCTATACCCAGCGTCTTCTTCTTCTCCCCCAAAATAAACTCCATTGCTAAAACCTTCCATGGGACTGAAATCTTCCCAAAAAATTCTCTTTATTTCATTCTTGTCGTAGCTTTGGTTGTTAAATGTCGCAAGCTGTTCATCACAGATTAGGTGTCGTTGTGGCACTATAGCCAAACACTTCACTTCATCTACTCCATATAACCCTAGAAGAAAATTCTACAAATGTTCAAGGCCCAAGGTTACCATATTTTTTTTGTTCTCTTCTTCTTCTTTTTTTGTTAATAATTTTATTTCAATTTTGAAACCTAAATCTTCTTTTTGATTTATGTTTGACAGGCTAATTCATGTGGGTTTTGGGAATGGGAAGATAAAATCTTCCCGCGAAGTGATTGGACTAATATTAAAGATGTAACATCATCGATTGAGGAGATTAAGATTCAAAGGGACAAATTGAATGAACAAGTAATTGCCACGAAGGCTATACACCAATATAAAGTGGATAAAGTAGTCAAGTTGGAAGATAAACTTGCAAAGACAAGCATGTTGCTTATGATTTCTTGGGGATTGTTTATTGGTTATTTTGTGGCCTCGATGATGAAGTGACTATTTTGCAAATTCAAATTTTCTCATGTTGAGTTTTATATGTGTAGCCATGTTGTACTAGTATTTTGTACGTTCTTTGATTATGATGTTGTAGTGGTATTTGTTGTGAAAGAGTTTTTCCCTTATTGTATACTCCAATTCCTAAACATGTTTGTTTTCTTTATAAGATATGTTTGGTTGTTCCTAAACATGTTCTTTGTGTGCGTTCTAAATAACTACACCCAAGTCCAAAATTGAAAAACAAAATAAAACAAACTACAGCAGAAATCCAAGCTGCAGATAACTGGATACCTTGCTTGAAAATTGCTGGATACCATATTATCTGTACAGAAACTGAAACACTTACAAAATGGAAAACTGGAAAATTGGATACCATATTATCTAGATGTAAAAATTGCTAACTAGATAACCAGAAAACTAAAATTGAAAATGGAACACCAACTGTCAACATTCATAACATTCATAGCATTCACCAACATTCACCAACTATCAACATTCATAAAGTGAGTTTATAAGACAGTCGAATATCATATTATAACCCCAAAAAGATGTCTAACACCTAGCTATATCATGACATCCAACTGTCACAACTAAACAACCACAACCAAAATATAACGTTTACTGACATGGCAGTAATTACAACAGATCCAAAAATTTACAAATGTTCAATACTTGAAGCAAAGTCCCATCATTTTTGCTCCTTACCACTACCCTTTCTTGAATTCAACTTGTTTAACCTTTGCTTGTTCAACTGATTTCCAGTGATGGCAGATTTTCCCAGCCATGTTAGGCCTTTTGCTAAGAAAGTAAGCTTTGAAGGCTGACTTGCACTACTTGAATCACCAACAAATCTAATGTGCCTGGCTGCAATTGGTATACTTTGTTGCCTCAGCTGAAGTCTTGTCCTTGCTTCTGAGATGCTCTTTGGCCTTACAGCTATGTTAGGCTCAGGTTCAAAGTTAGGGATCTCAAAATCTGGATCATTGCTAGTTGGAAGTTGCTGTTGGACAGTAGGGGTTGGCATAAACACAAAGTTGGTGGGCTGACTGTTTTGACTTGGCTGGGGTGCTGATAAATGGAAGTCATCTTCAGTTGGGATATCTGCAGCTGCTGGTGATGTAGGCTGTTTAGCAACTGGTTCATCAGCCAAAGTTCTTTGCTTTTTGTTCTGCTTTCTCCTTGAATTGCCACCCATTGGTTGTTTTCCTTTAGAGTGCTATTATCAAATAAAACACAATTATATGTTAGAACAAGGCAGAAAAAATCAGAACAAGGCACAATTATATTCAACAGACAAGATTACCTTGGCACAACCCCTAGCATTATGTCCAGCTTCTCCACAGTTATTACATGTCATGACTCTCCCTTTTCTAGATTGAGACCATTGCCCTTGCCTATTGGTTGACTCATTTGCCTCTCTTGTTCTTTTTACTTTTGGTCTGCTAGCTTGCCTTACAAATTCAGGTGGGTCCATTTTCTGAGAGGGCTCTATCTTCCAGACTTTTCTCCTCTCACGGGTTGTAACTTATGTGAATAAGTCTGGAGATATGCCTCTTTTGAAAGAAACCAGTGAATCTCACTCAAAGGATCTTGCTTCTTGTATAGCAGGGCACAGATTGCATGAGGACATGGGATTCCACAAAGGTCCCATGTCCTACAAGTGCATTTTTTTGCCCCCAAATTGACAATATGCCTATCACTACCTTCTGTCACCTCATAACCTTGGTCAGCACTGCCATTCACATGACACTTTTGTGCAATCCTCATGAATTGGTTATACAGGTTTAGAGTCTTAGGACTGTACTCACCTCCCCACCCCATCACTTCAGCTTCATTATCATTCAACATATTCATAACCTTGATTCTTATCTCCTCTAACATCTCTATAATTGGCTTCTGTCTAGCTTGTAGTATCCATGCATTGACGGACTCAGTCAAGTTATTATCCACTGACTAGTTCTTGCATGTAGTATCAAAGAAGGCCCTACTCTAGCAAGTAGGTGAATACCTTAACAAATCTTCAACAACAACTTTACCATCATCATCCACTTGGCTCATACTCTTCAACTGATCTTGGAAGTCCTCTTCATAGGTACTCCAAGCTGCCCACCACAGATATTTCTTGTATTCCCCAGATCCCCATCTCTTGCACCAGTATGCTTCTATGTGTCTAACACAAAATCTGTGGTGTGCCTCAGGAAGCACACCTGAGATTGAGTCAATTAGCCCCTACATATAAAGGAAAGAAGAAGTATGAGAATCTATATGTACAGATTGGAAAAATAATAAAATAATAAAATAATGAAGTAAAGTATTCATACCTTTTGCATATCTGAGATGAAAGTGATTCCTTCACCCATCTTAAGGTCCAAAGACATTTGCAGAAGAGTTAAAAACCACATCCATGTGACTTTTGTTTCTTTATCCACAATAGCCCAAGCTAATGGATAAAAGTGGTTTGCAGAGTCTTGACCAACTCCCACCAAGAGCTGACCCTTAACTTTCCATTTCAAAAAAGTTTCATCCAACCCTATAAAGGGCCTTAACTCACTCTTAAACCCCATCTTCATTGCATGAAAACATTTGTACATCCTTAGGAACCTTCTCTTGCCTTCAGCGAGAGCATCCTTTGATAAGTTAACTACTACATCACTTCCAGGATTACTACACTTCAATTCATTAACATATGCAACCAACTTATTATACTCATCAGTAAAACTACCTTTCGGATTCTCCAAAATCAATCTTTTTGCCCTCCTACACTTTGACTCACTAACATTTACATTAAATGCAGCCTTCAAGCTTGCCCTCATCTCTTTAACCTTAATGGTTGGATTTTCTTGTAACCCTCTCTTGAAGTATTCAGCAATGGTCTTTGAATTAACCCTATGACTCTCATATGCAGGTTCACAAGTGTGCTTAGAATGTAAAGTCCTGAATTCAGCCCCACCCCCCGAAGTATTCCTAGATATGTGGCATACAAAAGGGCAACCAACTTCACAAATATACCTATGCCTAGTTGGGTCACTTTTAACTTGCTCTAACCCATAACCATGTGCAAGTGCATACATAATTATAACTTTCCTAGCTTCAGCAATATCTTTGAATGTCATTGACCTATCCAACTCTGTATAGTTAGTTAATTTATCATTAATGTCTCTTTTCTTTTGTTTAAAAAGTTTCTCTAGTGTATCACAGTCATAGTTAGAAGAAACAGCATTTTCATTGTCATCACAACTATCACTTTCATCACAATCAGTGGCAGCTTCAAGTTCATCAGGTTCAGCATTCTCATTGTGATGGGTTATATTAGGTACATAAATACTTGACTCACAATCCTCTACAGCAAATATGTTAATAACATTAAACTGTTCATTCACAATGTCCAGTAAAGTCCTAATGCCATAATCACCTTCTATTTCATAATATGAACCAGAAGGACCATTAACTACTAGTTGTTGGACTCCTATATACCCCAAGTTAGAAACATATTCATCCACTAAATCATTGTAGGAAAGCAATTTAGAGTCAAAACCTTTCTTAATGTGCCAAAATTTTCTTGAGTATGCTATGAGTGGCTTCTTGACCCACTGTCCACCATAATGAAAGACCAAATCCAGCAGGACCATTGATAGTAAACTGCAGAATAAAGACAGTTAAAATTAGGACTGGGTAAAAGATATAAATAAAGGCATAAAGGAATACAGATAATAAAATAAAATCAGCCACAAATTGAATAATTCAGTCAACATTAATAAACTAATATATGCATCCATGGATATGGGGGACCATACATTAAAGTATTATATGGAATAAAGTGTCGCAGCCTCACCCTTCAATATTAAAATTCTGATTCACTTCTTTTCTACAAAAAACCAAAAGAATTTGGGACCACAAAATATTATAATCGAAACCCTAAACCACCAAAAGGCTATTCAATACCAGATGAGGCACATGCAAACAAAAAGAGTAAAATTAGGGTTTATCACTGTAAAACCACATGCAAGTGAATACAAAAGAAAAGCACACACTACCAGCTTGAAATTATCGTCAAAGATAGGAGAAGTGAAAACCCTAACCAACAAAGAACTATTCAGTAAACCCTAACTTCAATAAATACAAAATTATAAAAAATTAGAAACCCTATGACAACTACAAACACCTATAAACTTCAAATAATCGAAAAAAAAGTGTTTATGAAAATCCTAACCAACAAAGATCAAATCTGAAAGGGATTCGAAAAGACAGTAAAACTTTCTTCCGGAAATTTATTTGGGATAACTCAAGATAAGAGATTAAACTAACAGAAAAATCAATTTTTTGGAGAAAAATTTCTTACCTTGCTTGAAATCTCCACTGGAAGCAAGGATCCTGACCGGTTTTGTTTCTCTTTTTTTCTTTGAAGTACCAGAAGGTTCGAGAAAATGAGTGAATAAGGTGTTTTCAGACAGGTTTAATCTATTTATTTGATGGGTTTTCGGTTACGGGTTACGGGTCAATAAGATTTGGGAGTAGGTTTGGGTTTGGGAATAATAAATTAGTAGAAGTCCCAATTGGCAGCTGAGTTGGCAGCTGGGTTGGAAAAAAGAGATGGGGTCAACTGCCACTTGGACGGGGCGTTAGGGTTAGGGGCAATTGCATAGACTTTATTAACGATAAGTTGGAGATTGAACGTAAAGTATAACGGGGGACGAACGTGCATGAATTTAAAAAGTAAAGGGGTAATAATGGTCTTTTTCCCTTGTTTAATTATCAACTGTTAAAATCAGTAGGCAAACCTAATTGGGACTTCTTTTCTGAGTCATGTGATAAATCTGGTTCTGATGTTATCACTCAAACACCCTACTTTAGGATTTTAAATTCAGACCTTAATTGTGTATAAGTCATGCTGTCTATGTGCATTATCTGTGGAGGTATATCTGAACCTTCTATTCGTTTTCTGTGTTTCCCCTCTTTAAATGCAGTACTACATGTTTTGTATGCCGCCTTAGTATTTTGCCTTTAAACCTGAGGGTCTACTTAGAACCTCCTTCTTATAGGATAAGAGTCCTAACCTCCGGGATGGGTAGGAAGGGACGGGTAACAACATGCAATAAGAATCGAGTCCAACCCTCGCTTTAATTACCTTCACGGGGTGGGAAGGGTAGATATGGATATGATGACCGGTGCGCTAATGCCACACGTAGCCCCTTTCTAAGGAGTGATTACCGGGCATTGTACTGATGTGATCACAAACAAACCTAGGAACCCTTTTACATTCATAAGCATGCTTAGATTATAACTCTTTTCAAAACCTTGCTTTTTTTTATTAGTCGTTTTTCAAATGCTTGTGTATTTTAACCTAAATCCCCTGCTATGTGAGCCTTACTTACCTGTTTTCTAATTGCACAAATTCACAAAAACTGTCTAGTTGGGAACCACACTAGTGGATCCTGAGGGGTGCCTAACACCTTCCCCTTAGGATAATTTCAAGCCCTTACCCTATCTTCCGTTATCAAACGTAGTTGTAGATAAACCCTGTAGGTGCCCTAACGCACCTTAAAAATCGTTAGATGGCGACTCTTCAAAAACGCAATACCCAATTCCCAAAAGAAAATGAGTCATTACACCTTCATGAATATCGAAACCCGGACTCCTCTCCGCGGAGGGAAAAAGGGGACGCGACAGCGTGGCGACTCTGCTAGGGATTTTTTTAGGCTTTTACTATTTCAGATTGTTCTTGTGAATTTGTAACCCCTTTATGTGCAATTACTTGTTTAATTTCTTTAAAGCGTTTAATTTCTTTTCAAAAGCGAAACTGACATATCTTTCTTGTTTCCTTCCTTTATTGCTGCTTTAAGTTATAAAACTACTGTATTTATTGCTTTCTTAACGTGCAAATACATGTCAACATGCTTTAGTTATTGCATAATCATGCTCAACATCATACTCCACTCGTGCCGAACAAATACTATAGCAACGCTTGATGAGTGGTTGCGGTCTTCCTATATCATTACCCCCTAAATTCGGAAAGGCATATTTGCGGTAAAACCAGCCGATCAACGGTGCAGTCGACAGTTCCATGCCTTCCCCCTTGAGTTGTCCGCTCAAGGGTACCAGTCTAAAACCCCATAGAAACCTTACTCTGTTAAATTGTGCGTGCATCATAGTCAAACCTAGCCGGGTCAGTTATGTTGTCCACATAATGATCCTTTAAGATAGCCTTGTCCAAAGTCCACTAGGTTTCCCTCAAACCCAAACGGACATCATCACGCTCTGTGCATTATTTGGAGAAGTGAATGCTTCATGCTAATTGTTGATATTAAATAGTCGAGTCTCGTGGAGGTAAGGGCCTAACCTTATTTGTCTTGTAGAAATATGAGGCACGAAGTCCACAGGTTCGGCATGGTTACCAATATCCACCCAAGATTGGTATGATGGTGGAGAGATTTACATTCTAGTGACCAAACCCTCGTCAGAAAATACCTGGGCAATCTACCATCCCTCCTGGAGATTCAACCTAACAACCTGATCATAGAAGCTGCTACGTTGTTTTGGAATTGTGAAAGGGCCGTGTTCCGTTTTGGGGATATCGAGGTGACACCTTTGCTAGAGGAGATAGGGGGACTGGCCGGTCTAGTGTGGGAAACTCTGGGTCTGCTAATGCCCGAGAACCGCACAGGCAGGGGCTTCCTTAAGATGATGGGTTTGAAGAAGAATTCTGAATTGAGATGCCTAAAGGAATCATACATCCCTTTTGACTACCTGTATGAAAGGTACGGTCACAACAAATCCTACCGTACCCACCCTGACGAGTTTGCCATCACGTCCTTGGGACACATCCATCGCAGGGTTTTTGTCTTCATGTTTTGCTTCTTGGGTCTGATCGTGTTTCCGATGAAGAAAGGGAGAATTCATACCAGGCTGGCTATGGTAACTAAGACCCTAATGGAGGGGACTGGTGGGCAGACATTCAGCATTGTACCCATGATCATCGCAAACATGTACCGAGCCTTAGAGAAGTGTCAACAAGGAGCAAAATACTTCGAAGGCTGCAATCTACTACTTCAACTCTGGCTCATGGAACATCTGCAAAAGGGCGAATACCGACAAGAAATTCAGCGAAGGGACTGGGATGATCACATCGCTTTCCACCATCCAAAGTGAATGAATTACATCCCCGACATGTTCGCTCAACCTGAGAGCGCCAAAGGATGGGTTGAGCTATTTGATAATTTGATCAAAGAACAGGTTCAATGGATGTTCGAGCGGTTTTCGACAGAGGAGTTCATCGCCCGATCCAGAGATGCACCTTTCCTGATACTAATTGGTCTAAGAGGAACATACCCTTAAATCCCACTTCGAGTTATGAGGCAAGCTGGTAGGAAGCAAGTCATACCCAGGGTCGACAAGATGAGCCACTTCCGAGCTGACTTCCAAAACGATGATAGTCCCTACAAGTGCCAAGCGCAACACCTGTGGCATTGCAAGATCGTAATGGGGAAAAACACCCTCGAGCCAGACAGATATCATGCTGGTTGTACTCCTTTTTATTCATGTTGGTTGGAAGACAATCATGATGGTCTGGCCCACCCGGGGTTCGTTCGAGGTCATAGAATTATTAATGAATGTGACGACCCAAAGGGTCATCACCCATTTCCTCATCCATTCCGTGCTTTCGAGGCCTTAAAACCTCATTTTTTTACTTGCCTCGATTTGCGTGCGCAGTCCGGGCGCGTAGCCGGAAAGCTGTTATGTTGAAATATGTGAATTCCGTGAAAAAATTTGAAGAATTTTGATATTAATATTATTATAGTTGACTTTGGTCAATATTTTTGGTAAACGGACCCGGACCCAAGATTGGACGGTCCCGGAAGGTCCGTAGAAAAATATGGGACTCGGGCATGTGCCCGGAATCGAATTCCGAAGTCTAGAGCCCGAGATATGAATTTTTCCGTGAAATTGTTTTTCTGAAATTATTAAGGAAAATGGAAATGAAAATTGATTAAAAGACTATGGTATCGGGCTCGTATTTTGATTCTGACGCTCGGTACAAGTCTTAAATATGTGTTAAGCGCTTTCTGTAAAGTTTGGTCGAAATCGGACGTCGTTTGACGTGTTTTGGACTATAAGTTCCAAGTTTGAAAGGTTATGAAGTTTAGAAGGAAAATCATGTTCCTTGAGGCTTGATTCTATGTAAATGATGTTATTTTGGTGATTTAATCGCACGAGTAAGTCGTAGGATGTTTTTGAGGTTGTATGCATGTTTGGTTTGGAGCCCTGAGGGCTCGGGTGAGTTTTGGATAGGCATCGGATTACATTTCTCATGTTTTAAAAATCTGGTATGCTGGCTTCTGCAATTTTCGCAAATGCGAAGGGAAGACTCGCAATTGCGAGCTCGCAAATGCGAGCATTGCTTCGCAATTGCGAAGTCTGGGAAAATGGGGCACTGTCGCAAATGCGATCAACACTTCGCAAATGCGAAGTCTGGGGAAAAGGCTTGGGATCGCAAATGCGATCCATTGGCTCGCAAATGCGAGGTGGCCCTGGTCGCAAATGCGATCGAAT